GCTCTTCCGGGTGTGGCCATGTCCCTGGACTGCCAGAACAGAGTACATGGACTTGAACTCCAACTTGACAGATGTCTCTCCTCCCCTGGCTCTGGAGGCTGGAAGTCAGGTCACCACACCACAGTCCATATTCTTTGGGGGCCTCTTCCAGGCCGGTAGATGGCGCCGTCTCTCTGCATCCTCACATGGTTGTCCCTGTGTCTGAGTCCCACTCTCTTCTTATAGGGTCATTTGTCAGACTGGATCAGGGTCCCTGATAGCCTCATTTTGCCTTAATCACCATATTAAAGGTCCTGTCCCCACATAAAGACATGTCTTGAGGTCCTGGAGCAGGACTTCAGCATGTGAATTTGGGGACCCATGCAGCACCAGGCTTGAACCCTGTGTGATTAGTGGCAAGTGTGTAGCAGGGGCTGCCTGCCCAGACAAGCCAAGTGTGTGCTTGCTACCCAGGCTGGTGACCATGGGACACTGGCTTTGCACATAGGGCCAGGTGGTGTATGCTAAGGCCCCTTGCGCCTGGTGCTGGGTGAGTGGCCATGTGGTGGGGCTGGGAGCCACACCCTCCTCATGCATGTGGCTGCCCGGCCCACATTGGTGTCTGTCCTCTTTTGCAGCTCGGTGCCAACGCTCTCTTGTTTGTGGGCGTGAACATGTACGGCGTCTTCGTGCGGATCCTTACCGAGCGCTCGCAGAGGAAGGCATTCCTACAGGCCCGGAGCTGCATTGAGGACCGGCTGCGACTGGAGGATGAGAACGAGAAGCAGGTTGGTTGGGCATGGGGCAAAGGCATGGGGCAGGAGCAAGGTTCTGGCTGTGTCTGGCCTTGGAGTGGTTGGGGCTCCAGGTTGCATGACCATCTGTCCTTTGGAGGTGCCTGTCGCTCAGCTGTGTGGGCTCTGGGCACCTTGGCCTGCCCCCAAGCAAGGAAGCTGTGGAGATGGGGAGCTGCCCATTTCTGTGCTCCCTGAGCCTTAGTTTACCCACTGGTGACAGGGACTATGGTCCCCAGTGTTTCTGATGGGTTTAGGGCAGTGGAGGAGACTCCCTTGTGGTTTTAAAGGACAGGGCAAATGCAGCCAGGATTACTGCCTCCATAGGGCCTGACCTGCCGGGAAGGATGGGATGCGAAGGACTGGCCATGCTAAGCTGGGTTGTCTCCCACGTGCTGCTGTGCAAAGCTCACCTGGGAGGGTGCAGCAGAGCCTGGCCATGCCTGGGTGAACTTGGATGTGTAGTGGCCCAGGTTCAATAGAGAAGGGCTGGGGCTTCCACTGGTCCTGACCTTGACTCTTGTGGCTGGATGGAGCAGCCTGGCATGCCAGGGTGCTGGTAAGGTTATCAAAGGCACAACCGAGGTCAGCAGCCTGTGCCCATCCCGGAGCTCCTCCTGGAGCTTGAGGCAGTGTGAGCATCACCCCGTCCTCGATGTGAAGCAGCCTTTTGGGAAAGGACATAGGCTTGGAGGCAGCTGCATCTCAATTAGCTACCCCTTGTGGCTGGGCATCCTATGTCCTCATCCGCCACTCAGAGACTGCGCCCACCTGGCAAGGATGATGTGGAGCCTCTGGGTGGAACCTGGCATGCCACAGCGCCTTAACTGGAAGGATCCAGGCACCGTTCCCAGCCTGGGGTTCACAGGCTTTGGTGGTACCAAAGTGCTAGTGTCTCAGGCTGCAGTTGTCTTGAGGTGGACAGACTTACTATTCATACAAGAGATCACTGTGCTGACTCTGTATTTAAACACACACACACACACACACACACACACATTTCTTTTCATGCGCAGACACTGTACTGATAGCTAGTATTTATAATAAAGACAGGATATTATTGAGAAATTGATTGCATGCATGTTTAGATCATGTGTGTGTGGACATGTGGAAGGACATGTACATGTGGATGGACATGTGGGGAGTGGTTTGTGTCTGTGTGTATGTCTGTGTACATGTGTGGAGATGTATATGTGCATATGTGCCTGACATGTTTGTGCATATTTGTGGATATGTGGGGTGTATGTGTGCATGTGTGTACATGCCTGTATGTCTGTTGTTGAGTATGTATGGCTCTACATTCACATGGATGCATGTATCTGTGTGGACATGCCTGTATGTCTGTGCATATGTGTGTGTGCATATGTCTGTGGGCATGTGGGGATAAGTGTGTATGTGTGCACGCATGTGTGGATGACTACATGTTGTGTGTGCGAACATGTGTGTGTTGTACTTGTGTGTGATTTCATGTGGTACAGTGCGACAGCACTTTGTGCAGACATGCTGCTCGTGTCGTTGGTGATACTTGCAGGCTGCATGTCCCTCCGCGTTGTGCACGTGCTGCACATTCCCAGCGCCAACATTTGGACACCAGGTCTGAGGAGTTCTTCTGCACGCATATCTTTGTTCATCTAGACTTGAAGTGTCCCCAGCTCTGTTTCAGGAGTGTAAACATGTTTCCTTTCCATGTCCCGAAGATGTCTTGCAAAGCTGTGCTTCTGTGTCTTTCTACTGTCCCAGGCCCCAGGCTCCCTGCAGTGCTGGCTCCCTGCAGGGCCGAGGACACAGCCTGGTGGGGAGCCTGTTAGAGTGCTACTGCTGGCCCCACCCAGCAGACACTCGGGGTGTTGGGGCGCTGTCTGCAGCCCCTGTTGCTCCTCATGGCTTTACCTCCCAGCCTTCTGCCTCCCTCCTTCACTCTCTCTGCCCCTATCTTTCTCTGTCCCTCTGCCCCTCTTTTCTGTCTCTGTCTTTTGATCTATCCCTGGTCCTCTTTTTCTCCCCCTGTCTGTCTTTGTCTCTTTGTCTCTCTTCTCTCTGTCTCAGTGTTTTTCTCCGCTCTCTGTCTCTCTGTCCCTCCTCTCTTCTCTGTCTCTCTCCTTTTGTCTCTGTCTGTTTTTCTGTAAGTGCCTGCTCTTTATCCCGCCCCTTGCCACTCATCACCATGGACAGCGACTCCTTTACACTGCTGGTGTTTGCCTTTTCCCTGTCCACATCCTGGCAGGGCCTGGCTTCCCGGCAGCTCATTGCACTCCAGAGAGGCTGATGCACGTCCCCAGGTCTGTCCCTCTGGCTTTGCTTTTCTTTGTATAAAAATTCAGCCTTCTGTATTTTCAATGGAAGGATCATTTTCCTTTGTGATTTCCTCTGCAGCTTCAAAGCTGAGCAGATGCTCTGATAACACGAGCACTGAATGAGGACACGGCTTCCACAGGCTCCCTGGGGCGACTGCGACCTCGGTGTTCCCACATTTGCTGTGTTTTCTGTCTGTCTCCTCAAATCTGCAGACCCTACCTGACACCCATCTTCCTGGGCGCCTGGTAGATTCCAGTGCAGGTTCCTTCCCCCACCAGCTGGCAGGTTCCAGTGCAGGGAGGCTTGTTTCTTGGGGTGGCCCAGTGGGGCCTACCAGCTCTTCTGGTCTGTCAGAATCTTCTGAGTACTTCCTGGTGATCCAGGGAACCTAGAGATGACCATGACAGCTCTACCCAGGCCTTGCGTGAGTCGGATAAAACTGAGGATCTGCGAGACAATGATGTGGGAAGTCTTGTTCTGGGAGGGAACCTGGGGGACACACCCAGATTCTGGTAGGAGACCTGGGGGATGCACAGTGGGAGGTCTGGCAGCCTAGCAGGAGGCTGTGGGATGCAGGGCAGAGTCCATGTGCCTGTAGGACGGGGTCTGAGCGGGGCTGAGGTGAGGGGAAGGTGAGCAGTCCTGTGCATGGTGCTTTGATGGACACCATTCTGTGCCCTGTGGCCTCTGCTGGAAGGTACAGCAGGTGGCAAGATGGGTTCTTGTATGTCTGTTCTCACTGATGGCTGGGCACTCAGTGGCAGGGGAGCCCCTGTCATGGTCAGGAAGAGACATAGGGATCAGTTCATGGGAAGAGCTGAGAGGCAGGGCAGTGACATGGCGAGACATTGGGAAGTTCTTGTTTTCTTCCCTGGGGACAAACATCCAGAGGTGGTGTGCTCAGGGGAACTGGGCTCAGTTCTTGAAGCCGGTGTCTGTCTTGGGAGACCCAAAAAACACCTTTTCTCTGGATGGGCTTGGCTTTTGTGGCCACCCTGATTGGCCTGGACCTGTAGGAGAGCAGAGCAAGGGCCTGCAGTTCTGAAACAGACTCCCTATGTGAAACCCCCGTCCTGCCCCAGCATTGTTCCAGATGGGAATCAGTGGGACAGTGGACAGCTCAGACAGCAGCACACAGGAGGGGCCTCAGACCTCTCTCCATCCTGTTTGCAGATTGGATGCCCAATTCCCTGATGCCAAGGTTGTTGTCGCCCTGGGGTGATGCACTGCTCCGCAATGCTGTCAGCAGGTCACTGGTGTGCATTACCTTGAGCCTTGGGGAGCGCCTCCAAGCAGCCTGGGTAGTGATGCCAAGGTTAACCTCACTGGCTAGCATATCCCCGATGTTCCTTGCCCACTCATGGCCACTTTCCACCCCAGCCCCTCACAGAAGGTGACGCCTGTTGGAGCATCAGGAGCCCTTACTGCCTCTCCTGTTGCATTCAGTGCTTGCCACCCTATGGCTGCCCTGCAGACCCTGCGAGGCCTTGCTGGCTCCTGGCCTGCTCCTGCCGAGTCACTTAGGCATGTATGCCACATACTCTTGAAGGTGTAAAGCCCCCACCATGTGGGTCTTTGAGGGCTGGAAGAGTTGTTCCCCTTGTCCTTCCTCCCCACCCCCCCATCTCAGGGCTGCCTGCCCTGAGACCCTGGGAGAGGGGTGGGGGCAGAGGGCCTTTTTTTTTCCACCGTGGGAACACACACTTACTTGTAGACGTTTCTTTGGAAGTCACCTGAATTGGTCATGTGCTGATCCCTCCTCCCAACAGAACAAAGGAACAGAACAGAGGGGATGGCCCTTAATCAAGGGCCTCAGGGTCTGGGCAGAAGAGAAGGCATGGTATGGAGATGTTCTTCCTCAGTTGTTAGATCCCTTTACAATGAATCTTGGCTTTAGGAATGGAAAGGCTCTATCTGGTTTATAAAACTGAGAACTTGGGCTCTGAGAATTTAAATGACTTGGGAAAGATAATGGATCAGATAGCATAGTAGCCAGTGCCAGAGCCAGGCCAAAGTGCAGGCTGCCCGCGAGACCATCCACCATCTGGGCCGTTTCTTCCTTTGTGGCCAAACAGGTGCCTGCAGAAGCATGGGATTGCAGGTGCTTGGGCCGAAATGCTTTGAGGGATGGGGGTTCTGTCCTCATAAGTCTTTCTGTTTCAGAACAAAATGTCAAAAGTTGGTTCTTTGAAATTGGAAAGCTCAGAGAGAACCTTCAAGAAGAAAGAGAACAGGCATGATAAGATGAAGGAGGAGTGAGGGTGGCCGTGGAGAAAGCAGGGATTAAAATAGATGATAGGAAAATGCAAAGCAGAATTTTATCCCAGCATATTTGAATATCTAGACCAAGTGGACAAATTCCCAGAGAAGTGTCATTTATCCAAGATGATCCTAGAGGAAAAAGAATGCCCCCGCATTCTGTAACCATTAAAAATATTGACTCCAGGGCTGGCCCTATGGCCTAGAGGTTAAGGGAGCAAGGTATCACAGGGGAGACCTCACAATCTGAATCCTGGCCCCAATGGCTTGAAAAACACACACCAGGTGCATGTGCGTGCATGCCTCAGATCCCAACAGGGTGGAGAAATGAATGAGAAGGGATTGCAGTGTGACCGTGCTCCATGGGAGGTGCTTTCTCTTCTCCCTCTCTCTGTCCAGTGTGCATGCCCCCGGCAAACAAACAAACAAACAAAAACCAA